ATTCATTTAGCTTTAAAGTATATAAATAGGAAAGGTCATCGTTCCTGTGTTATTTACACTGACTCAGTTAGTGCACTTCAGGCTTTGATTTCATGTGAACCTAGTTCTCACTCTATAGTGATTAAAATTCGCAAATTGTTTTGCCATCTTACTGCGAGTAATTTCTTTGTAAAATTTTGTTGGGTCCCAGGCCAGGTAGGTATAAAAGGGAATGAAGAAGCTGACGCAGCTGCAAAGTCAGCTACTCCTTTACAGCATATAATGCGTATTGAAGGAGATGATTTGAAGCTAGTAGTTAAAAAAGGACTAGCAGAGAAATGGCAAAACGTGTGGAACGCACAAGTCCACAATAAACTACATGAGATTAAGCCAAATATAGAAAATTGGACACATAATAAACGGTATGACAGGAGATCTGAAGTAATTCTTACTTGTTTGAGAATTGGGCATACTCGGTTGACTCATCAATACCTTTTGAAGGGTGAAGACCAGCCAGTATGCGAGCATTGCAACTGCTTTCTAAGTGTAAAACACATGCTTTGCAACTGCACAGCTTTTGATCAAAGTCATAGACAGCATTTTGGAAATGCAAGTCTGAGAGAGATTTTGGGCCAGAGGCCAAATCTTGACAAATTATTGAACTTTTTGAAAGTGAATAATATTTATAAACATGTTTAATTATTTATGTAGGTTACGTTTATATATATACCTTGTTGATTATTTATTTATTCATTTATGTATACATCTTGTTATTATTTATATGTATATTGTTATATGTGGTTTTGTTATTGATTAGTTTATTTATTTATTTATTTATATTGAACATCTTATATATATATATATTTATTTATTTATATATACCATTTGCCATGGCGCAGCTTGGCCTGTATGGCCCTTGTGCCAATAAACTTTAACAAACTTTAACTTTAACAGATCCTGTTATAGTTCTATCTTCAAAAATGTTTTGGTTGATTAAAACATAGGGTTTACTGTATCTGAGCTATGATTTCTTACCATTTAATATTTTCTGAATCTATAGGCATGCAAAAACCACTTGTCAGTTAAGGTCCACTCTACTCTATCTTTGTAAACCTTTCTTTATCAGAAGAAACTATCATTTTCTTTGTTCTCACTGATATTGATGCATAACTAAGTTTCACTCCTGTATTCCAAAAAAGAACTTTCTCAATTCAAACTTCTTTTTGAATATTTAGATTTATATACTGCTTTTCAGAGTACAGCCCCTTTGAAAAAATTACGAAGCTTCATTAAATTACTTTTTTAGAGGTCACTTTAAATAATTTGATAAATATTTTTATATGTTGTCCATATTCATCTTCAGATCAAACATAGAATGAAAAATTTTTTATTCTTTTTTTATTTTGCACTTGTCTGGTAATGTACCACTACTTGCATTTTTTCCCCCTTTTAATGCTATTTACTTGTGATAGCATTTAAATCCACAGATCTAAGCTTACATCTTCTTTTTGTTTCTTATAAAGAAACAAAAAGATGTAAATATATATATAATATAATATATATATTTCCTAGTATATATTAGGGAGGTTTTGCCCTCTACTCCTTCAAAAGCTTTGTGATAATTCATTGATTTTAGGTGATATCATTTCTACTTTTTTCCTCTGCTACTGTAGATGGCCCAACTCTTGTTTGCTCACTGCATGGGTTTTGCCCACTTGTTCCCAATATAGGCTATTCATAAAAGAAATTTTGTGAAGATTCATCAATTCTCAGTGCCACTGCTTATTATTTTTTTTCCTTGATGATTTTTAAGCAAAGTATTTCATATACACTACCCTACAATAATGGACCGGACAGCAAGATGTGATGGCATAGGGTAAAGAATACATGCTTTAATAGGAGATCCTTCACGTGCTGCAGTTATACTAGCAACCCTTTTGGGCATACTTTCAACAAGGTTTTGATACACAGCTATGGGTATTTGTGTCCATTCATGCTTCAAGAATGTCGCCAGCTCAGCTGTATATTTTGGACATGGTTCCCTGGTCCTTAAGCGTTGCTCTAACTCGTCCCACAAATGTTCTGTTGGGTTTAGGTCAGGATTCTGAGCAAGCCAACGAAGACAGTTGACATCTGTATCTTGATACCACTGCTTCACAGAGACTGCAACATGACATGGAACATTGTTGTCCTGGAAGTAAATTTGTCCATTCCATAAAATTGCCAGAGCGTAGAAAGAACCTGATTGTCCAAAATGTTCATGTAGGCATAGATGTTCAATTTACCAGGAACAACATGCAAAGGTCCCAGGCCATACCACAAAAAACACCACCATCACCAACTTGACAGGTGTCCATTCCGTTATTGTAGGGTAGTGTATATAGAGTAGATATAAAATTTGTTTACAAATTTTATACTGTACTTAGAATTCAATATTAATGAATAAATAAATTCATTAATATTGAATTAATTAAATATTATATTAAATAAATATTAATAATTTAAAGAAGAAATAACTTCTTTAAAAATAAAAATTTCTTTTAATAATAATTTACAGTTCAATATAATAAAGAAATAATTAAATACTATTTACAGCAAAGATCAAAGAAATTCCTAAAAAAGTTTCTTCAGTTCCTTCAGATGATAAAATCCATTCATTGTTTAATGATTTACCATCACCTTCAAATATGAATTCTAATGCTGCCATGAAGAGAAAAGCAGATGACACTCCTAATATATCCAAACCAAAAAAATCTCTTACAGGTATTATTATTTTTTCCCTTTAGGAAAAGATTTAGACAATTATTAAAAATATTTCATTTAAATTTAATTTTTTAAATTAATATATAATATATTTTTAAGGTGTGTATGGATTACAAGGATTTTTTGCAGAGAGAAAAGGAGAGAGAGAAGAAATGCAAGATTCACATATTTTATTTGATACATTCCACAAAAACATAGTTCATTTAGATTCTTCCATGTATGTATATACATATATAAAACTTTTTATAACACTTAGATTTTATTCTTTTTATAATCGATAGTTTTTGAATGTTTGAAATTTATTTCATATATTTAAACAAAAAATATATATATATATATATATATAATGCTGTCTTTATTTGGCTGCTTTCTTACTTTTTAATAATAGATTTTTGATACAGATAATAGAAATAACTGAAATAAACTAATAAAAATAGAGAAATTGGGGATTTAAGTACAGTCAACTCCCAATTATCCACAAGCAAATTGTGTTATGGACACCTGTGGACAAGGTCAATTACAACCCCAGCTAGTCATCCATCAAACTGATCAGCTGTACAGGTCACTTGGTATGTTCCATTTTCATCAGTGGGGATGATGATGATATGTAATAATAATTTATTTTTGAAAAAAATGCTAATTACCATTTTTTGAATTTATTACAGTATAGTGAGTTTTATTATTAATTTTATATTTTATTGTTAATTTTAATTTTTACAAATGTTGTTATTTATTATACATATTTTTCATTTTTTTATATGCTATTGTATGGTGTAGTTGTTATAATGTGAAAAATCACATGTTTTTTGATAATTGCTTATTTCTTCAAACTGTTCATTAACTAACAACCATCTAGTTTCATTTCTGGTTTAAATAGAACATCTCCAAGAAGTCTCAAATAGCTAGCTAAGCATTTGTAGTGTTTTTTTTTTTTTTTTTTTATTCATGGAATTTGATTATCCACAGTAGTTGTGCCACCCATTACCATAGATAATTTGGAGTTGACTGTATATATCAAATTTGAAAATAGGAAATATCTGGTTTCACATTAACTTTAAACTATAAAGAAACCAAATAAATGACAGCATTAGAAATGTAAAATTGTTGATTTAAAGAATTCTATTTTAAATAGTATATAAATCCAGTGAAACAAATTGAAGGATAATAGAAGCAGAAGTATATCTCAAAGGTCTCAAAAACATTTTATTCATTTAAGATCTTTTGTCTTTGCTTTGGATCTCACACCTGAAGATGAGATGAGGTCTCAAAAATAAACATTTTTGAGACCTCATCTAATAATATTTTGTGCATTTGTTTCTTTGTGTTTAATATTCAATATACAAAAACATTTATACAGTAAATATATAATTATGTTGTTTCAATGTGTTCAATATATATGTAGGCTGTTTTTTTCAAGCTCCAATGGTGCATAAAAAAAAGACAAGTGTAAATAACAAAATGAATTTATTACCAAAAGTTAGGTACAAACATGGTTACTTTTCGACATAATCACCGTGAAGATTGAGGAATTTGTCATATCTGTGGATGAACTTTTCCATCCCCTTGTCATAGAATGTTGCCACCAATAACTTGAGGGCCTTAATGTTGTTTTGAAGATCGTCATTAGTCTCGAACCTCTGCCCTCCTAGCCACTTTTCCTGTTCAGGGAAGAGGTGGAAGTTACTTGGCACTAAATCAGGGCTATACGCTGAGTGTTTAAAGGTGGTGAAGACTTCCAACCAGCTTAAAACTTTTTAATGTGTGAAGACTTCCATCTCATTCCTGAACTGAAAATGTTGCTAGCAGGGCAGAGGTTTAAGACTAATGACAATTTTCAAAACAACATTGTTAAGGCCATCTCAATTCACTGGTGGCAACATTTAATGACAAGGGGATGGAAAAGCTTGTCTACAGATATGACAAATTCCTCAATCTTCACTGTGATTACATCGAAAAGTAACCATGTTTGTACCTAATTTTTGGTAATAAATTCATTTTGTTATATATACTTGTCTTTATTTTATGGACCATTGGTGCTTCAAAAAACTGCCCTCGTACTTATGTTCTTTATATCAAATAACAATATATTTGTATTGGTCAAAACTCCATCATTTCAAACAAACAATTCTCTTGATTCAATGATATCAACATCTAAATATTTACTGTTTCATATACAGCTAATGTTTTTTGCAATTTATAATTAGGATTTTGATATTTTGTTGTTAAAAAAAGTTACATAATTAATAATTAAACTAAAAAAAGTTTACAAAATTAAAATTAACTTTGTAAATTTTTTGTCCATTCAATATGCTAGCTTCAATTTCATATAAATTGCTGAAATACCTCTAGGCAAATAGATAATATAGCATAGTTTAATGATTGTTCTGTCTGTAATTGTTTAACTATGGGGTGATTCACTCTGGACTGAACACTGTAATGTCTAATTTTTCGGAAGCCCAGAAATTACCTAACATTCAAAAACTAAAAATTCTATTTATCATTCTTTGACTGACTATATACAATATGAAATAAGTTAGAAAATATTCAAATATAAAAGGATACTTTATCCTATCAAAAGTAAAACAAGATATATACAAAAACTTCTCTGACACTTGGAGAACTTAGTTAAAATTAACTTAGAATTATCTTAATCTCCACAAGAATTGACAAGAAATATGAAACTGGACTATATACAGGAATTTCACAAAGTAATCTTACAATTAACTTGCCTAATTGTCACCAAGAAGAAACTTTTAATCTGTCATCCAAATCGAAAGCCTTTTTTCCTTAACCTCACTAAGCCTCACCTTGTCTTATTCGCAGCTCATCTCTTCTTTTATAGTGCTAAGAATGGTGACATTACATTGATATGCCCACTCAACCCTATTTACATACTTAAAGTTAACATTTATTTACCATATTTACTCGCATATAAGATGAGGTTCTTATTCATTTATTACAGCTTCAAATTCCTAGGTCTTCCTATAGGCACAAGCAAAAGATTCTTTGCATTTTTGCAAATAATTTTTGTGAACTGTATATTTTCATTTTTACAGAATGCTTACCCTCTTGTATTTAAAACAAAAGTGTTTTATCTGGGTTGTTTGAATCATTCTTGTAAATTGTCAAGAATAAAGATGAATAGCAATAGGAAAAGCAAAGCTTTTGAATTGAATTCCAGATTGAAATTCCAAAATTACATGGAAGTACAATATACGTTTTAACCCATTCCCAAGTGAAAACATGATTATTCGGAAATCAGAATTCAGAGAAACTCATAAGTGTAATCGACGGAGAGTGGATTTGACTGTTAAGAATTGGCAAAAGAAAGGTATCCGGTTGTCCAACTTTACATGGAAAAATCTTGTAAAATCGACAACAAATTATGTTGTCGATTTTACAAGATTTTTCCATAAAGTTTAAAATGCCAGTAATTTTTGTGAGACACTGTGTGCATTTACGTTCATTTGATATTTTACTTGTGATTAAACAAAATAAAATTAGAATTTATCTAATAAATCTAATTTTCTTTATTTTGATGTTTAAGGTCACACCTCATCCTATATGCGAGTAAATACGGTAACTCTAGCAATCTTCTTTCCATGTCATATCATCACCCTCAAAACTATTATAGTAAGATGAGTTTCATTTTTAGTTTTTCAGTTTTGTCCAGGCAAGGTACAGTAGTCTATTTTTAATGGAATAAAATACTCTAAAATAAATAAGAAAATGAACTCCTTACAACTTAATATTACATGGAATATTTTTGTATAAAATGAAAATATGAAACACAGAGTGATTATTTCATGATAGAGCAAACAACCAAAGTATGTTTTACGTTACATGTTATTCAAATGTGACTGTGCAGTCAAGAGTTATTGAACAAAATAAGTGTTCAGTTCTGAATGAATGATTGTATTATATTAAATTTGTTATAAAAATGTTTTATAATAGGAAATAAAAATTACACAATAAATTTATTATTACAATAAAACTTACATTGTTTTCTCCAATAATTCTGTAATTACTATAGTTGCAGAGTTGCGCTGTATGGTGTATTTGATGGACATGGAGGAGCCCGTGCTTCAAGACATGTTGCCGATAGGTTTCCTGATAGTTTAGCAAGCAGCTTTCCCAAGGGTACCAACATGTGTTCAAGCTTCTGTCTGAACTTTTTTAGACATTTTTGGCACATTAGTAATAAGGTCAGTTGTACTCGATAACTATGGCAGTCTCTAAAACTGGATTTCACACAGTTAATCGTGAAAACAGAGTTATCGACCATAGGCAGTTTTGCAGGTGATAATAATTCTAGTTGCAGTATATTAATTGCCAAAAATATTAATTCTAAGGGTTAGTATGACATCAGAAATACTTTGGAACCTGCATGGAATGGAATTAATATCAATGTCAAAAATGTTCTCATATACAAGAACAAAAATATTCATGTTTTAAAATTATTAAATTTCCTTTTTACAAAATGATGTTCCCTCTTATGCAGGATTCATTGTATTTTATTCAGTTTATATAATTTTTAATTTGTATAACTGCATGCACTTTATTCTCCTAGGTAATGTCGAACAAGTTGAGAAAGAAATAAAAAAGTGTTTGTTAGAAACTTTTAAAAAGACAGATGAAGAGTTTTTAAAGGAAGCAGCTAAAAGTAAACCAACATGGAAAGATGGAACAACTGCGATAATTGTATTACAAATCAATAATACACTATATATATCAAATCTTGGTGACAGCAAAGTAAGATATTAATCTAAACTTTCATTAAGTATTTTTAATTCATAAAAGGAATCTTGTTTCTGGCAGTTTTTCTTAAATAATTCATATTGAATTTTGAATACAGTAGAGCATTGATTATCCGACTTGTTTGGGGACTGGGGTTGGTCAGATAATTGAAAAGTCGGATAACCGAAAAGTATGAAAAAATCCATTATTAGTGTAGTATATCATTATATCCCATCTAATTAGTATATTAGTATATCGCTATTAACCTACTTCGCATTGAATTTTCCTCCATGTTAAGCATATCAAATTTTTTTTAAAAATAATAATCGTTGCTATTGTATCGTTAAAAATTAGAAAATTAAGCCTCGTTTAAATACTAGGTCCCTTTCATGGTCGATCCAGTGTTGCCAGCTAAAACACGTAAAAATAATATTAAAGTAGCCAAGACATAGCTAAATATTGTAGTGCCACATCACTAGCGGACATTTGAATTTGCCGACTAGAATGCAGTCGGTTAACTGAGGTGACGATTAGTCGGGCGTCGGATAATCGATGCTCTACTGTATTTACATTGACTCTCAATCCTGTTCTTACTAATATTTACTATGTGGTATTCATAATGTGTTGTGTGTATTAATCGAACAATTCATCTTTTGTGTTATTGAATTCAAATTCTTTGTTAATGGTTAGTATCTATAAAAGACCATTGTAGATTTTTTTCAGTATTGATTAAGCAGTATTGATTTTGTCTGTAAGTTTTTGTATTTTAAATTTATATTTTGGTTACATTGGTGCAAGTCATCATTACATAAAATATGAGGAAAAAAATTAGTTAAAATATTGTCAAAATGTATCAAATGAAGATATGAGTAGATTTCTCTGTCATTCTGATAACAAATTTATTTCTGTATATATTTTTCTATATATTATAGACTTTGATTCATTATGTAATCTTTAAATTTATGATTCAGATTATACCATGTATGAATATTTATTATCGTTTATCAATTTTATAACATAATTAAATTATATAAAATCAAGTAAAATATTATTAATTAATATATTACTGTATTATAAATGTACAGTATTTATGCTTCAGCATCTCAGATCATAAATTTACCAGTACTATAAAAACATGCAAAATTTAAAGTGTGTCTTATCTTAAAAATTATAATAAAACTTACAAATATAATAAGTTAAAACATAAATTTTATTAAAATTTAAAAGCATAATTATGAATAAAACAAAAATATATTTTTATGAAGTATCTATTAAGCAAATTGCCATGAATATGTTAAAATTTTAATAAAATGACATAACAATTTCTGATAACTTTTGCAGTCAGTTATAAGAATAGAATATAATGATTTACATGCCAGATGATAGTTCTGATAAGTAGTATAATAAGACTGAATTATTGAAATAGGAATATTGAAAATTTTATCTAATATTGTGCAAAAATAATGCTAGAAATGTTTTGATTTATTTATTTGAATGACACAATTGATAGATTACTTATATATCGGACTATCAGGTTTATTATTTACTTAGTTTAATAAATTAGAAAAGAAATGGCTTTAGTTCATTTCTTTTTTAATTTGTTAAACTAAGTAAATTACTTATTTATTTCTAGAAAGAATCAATTGATAAAACTTGTTATATATTATTGTTATACCTTTCATTTACTTTTAAATGATTTTTAAATATTAAATTTTGAAACATTCATTAGGCAATTTTATGTCGTTTTAATGAAGAAAGTAAAAAATATATGGCTTTGAATCTGAGTAAAGATCATTCACCAACTGATTATGAAGAAAGAATGAGAATTCAAAAAGCAGGTGGCTATGTAAGGTATGCTAAGTTTCATATCAATTAATTTCAATTATACATACATACATACATACATACATACATACATTAACTGATTAATAAATTATCAATAAATTTAATAATAGATTTTGCTAAATTATACACAACATATTACATGCTAAAGACATTTTAAAGATGTTTATTCTGTGTGTATATATATGTAGATATACTACAGTGAAATCTGATTTTAGCACCTTTTATTCAATAAATGAAACATCCAGTCTTAGCATAATTATAAAAACTATTGATATAGTTTTAATTAAGTAAATGCTGCCTTCTTCAGACAATGGATTAAAAATTTTCTATTCTCCAAAACCTCTTAGGTGAACAGAACAATGAATTACTTTTTTTTTAAATAATAAAAGCATCATGAATATCTTCACTATCATTCTGTTGTTTACACCAGTGACAATCCAAAGCAGAATTCTTATATACAGTAACAACCTTTTCTTTGAGGCTATATCCAAAAGAAAGGTTGTTACTATATATAAGAATTCTGTTTTGGATTGTCACTGGTGTAAAAAACAGAAAGATAGTGAAGATATTCATAATGTTTTTATATTCTTTAACCTATCCGATGTTGAAATTTTTATCTGTTGCCTGTATGCTATGTTGAATTTTTGTCAATGTTAAGCCTAAAAAAAATTGTTTTTAAATAATAATCGTGTTTACTGTATCATTAAAAATTATTTTTTTATGTTGCACAAACAAAATAAATATATTGAAAAATATAGAAACAAAAAAACCTATATTTCAAAAGTTCGTTTTAATATAAAATTTGTGACGCATAGTGACATCTAGTATCAAAAACGTTCTGATGTAAACACGAAAATATTCGGGATCGCCCACACAGGTCAATGAGGTCAACACGAATATTTTCGGGAATAACACAGGACAGGTTAAAAATAAAATACTGTCAGCCAAGGTTTTAAATATTGACTTAATGAATCCACTTAATTTCAGCTTCAGATTTTCAGAATTTGTATTGAACTGGAATGCATTGAATAGAATGCATGTGTAGAATTCAAATTTGAACAGGCTGAGCCATATCAGATCACTTCAGCTATAATAATGTTTCTTACCATGCTTGACATGCTTTGGATGGCTGTATCTCATTTCTAGAGTTGATACAATTGGAATTATGTCTGGCTTTAAATATTTCATTGGACTCTAAGAATCTGATGTGGTCTCAATTTGTAGAGGATTGATGAGAAGGGTCTTCCAAGGCAAATCTTGACAGGGCAGTGGTGATTTTTGAGTGCTTTGTATCATAATTGTGTTCACATATCTTTTTTCTGATGACTTTTTGGTGGTACCCTTCTGTGTAGACTAGATCTCTCCCAAATCTCTTGTCTCTTAATGGAACCCTATACACTCTTGGGAGTTTCTGGCAGTTTAGGGATTCAACGAGAGGTTTGGAATCTAGTCTATTTGAATGCCACCAAAAGGTCAATATAACAGAGGCTATGTAAACACAGATATGATATATAAAGTACTCAAAAGTCACCACTGCCCTGTCAAGGTTTCCCTCAGAAGACCATATAGATGCTAAATTAAATCAGGCCCAGCTCACCAAATCCTCTAAAAATTGGGACCACATCAGACTGTTAATCCATTTGAAGTATTTAGAGCCAGACATAATTTCAATTATATCAACTCTAGGGATGAGATACAGCTATCCAAAGCATGGTAAGCATGTACAAAATATCATTATAGCTGAGGTGATATAATATAACTTGGCACATGTTTTATACTGACCTGTTCAAATTTGAATTCTACATGTGTTCTATTCAATGTACTCAATACAAACTCTGAAAACCTGAAGCTGGAAGCTGAACAGGTTTAGTAGTCTGAAGACATTTCCAGTGATAGAAAAGTATATTTTGGTAATTTAGAATTACTTTGGGTTTTGGCCTGCCAATTTGTTATGCACCCAACAATCAATGGTCAGTTCAAGAACTGTCCAAGAACGTGGCCAAAGCTAGAAGTTTTGCAGAGCTGGATCATGTAGTTATGAGAGTTGATCATACTAGTTCTAGCTCGCATTATTACCACTGTGAAAAATCTCTACTTTAGTCAAAGTAGAAAAAAACCACTTCTAAAGCAAAGAGAAAAACTAATCAATGTTCAAATTGCTTTATTTTTGTTGAAAAATTGTAGGAAAATAAAAAATGTATTTACAGTTGAAAAAAAATGAGAGAAACCTTTTTACTGAATAGTTTAAAAAATCAGACAAAAGAAAAATGGTTTTAATTGTAGAAAAAACTCATCTATAAAGATAACATCTCCTTAAATACAGCTGAAAAAATCATGTAAAAAAAAATAAAAACTCTTCAATTACAATTAACAATAAGCCTTTAATCCCTTTTTAAAGATATTTAATACAAATAAAGTAATACCTTGACTTACACTAACACGGAGTTACGCGATTTTCAAATCTCATCGATTCGTCTTTTGTTTGAGCGCTACACAATTCTTGATTACTCACTCCCCCCACACAGCTTACATGTTCAGACGTGTTGTGTGGAATCAACATATAGCTACAATTTATTTTGTGTTATTTATTTCTGTGTTTGTTATATCTATGGAGATGTGAGAGACTCTACTATGTCATCTAAATGAAGTAGAACTGATTCTTCTGCATCAAACAAGAAAAGAAAAACTTTATCTTTGTAATGTAAAGTTAACATTATTAAAGACTTTGATACAAAAATGAAAATTTGTGAATTAGCAAAGAAGTTTGATCTACTGGAATCGATGGTCAGAACAATTATAAAAGGTAAAGAAAAAATTCTTGAAGCTGTAAAAAATGCTCAATCTTTAAATTCAAGCATCATTCGTAAACGTCACAGTATTATCCGAGATGGAAACAATGTTAAAATTATGGTGTGATAATCAAGTAAATGTGAAAAATTGTACAATAATATAATTTGTTATACATACGTATTATCTAAGATTTTATTAAACATTTTTTTCTAAATTATTGTTTTCTTTAGTCTCCAGCCCCAATTAAAAATTATTTGTATGTATTTATATGCGAAATTATACCCCGACTTACGCG